ATTCAAATTCTTAAAACTCAAACAATGTGACCAAATCACATTCATAATTCAGATCTTATAGCCTAGAGTATATTATGAAAATTGAAGAATAATTAAATTCTCTTATCTCAATACAGTGTTTCCAAGTTAAAGAATCCTAAAACTTTTAAATTTTCAAGAAGATAAATCTTGCTCACAAAAAAATCAAATTAATAAATTTAACATATCATAATATTCCTAATCTAGTCAAGATTCATCTTTTCACAACAAAGTCTATATGCAAGCCTCCTAGGACCCACATGCATACCTAAACCTAAACACATGCAAAATGATTTAAAATTAGGAAAGGAAAAACTTACTATATTCAAAATTTTGATCAGGTAGAATTGATCTCCTCTTTTTTAGGAACACTAAAGTGCACTTAGATCTAGAAAAAAATGAGAGATGAAACACAAAATTTAGAGAAAAGGCAGAGAAAAGAGAGTTATAGAGAGATGGTGATTTTGTGAAAATGAAATTTGAATATTTAAATTTTTTTATTTATAATTCTTTTTAGCTTAAACTGTAAAATTTCAAATTTATTCTCATTATATCACTTATATTCTTAACTCATGGATGGTTCTAAACATTTATTTATAATTGGATTAAAACATTTAATATCTACTGTGTGACTGAGATTAATACTCTATATCTCTATTTTTTATTGAAATTAAAAAATGTGGTTGTTTTTTAGAAACTCAATTGTGGTAATACATGAATGTTTCAAGTTTGAATTGAATGGATTTACATGTATAGGAGTTGGATATGGTAACCTCATTGAAGAGTAAATAGAGAAGATAAAGAAATAGAAGGGATGTCCAAAACTGAGAAGAGAATGATTAAGGAGGCTAATAAAAAAAAAAACAATTATTCTGTGTTCTATATACTCCATTACATTCCTTAAAAAACCACATATTGGTTTGAAATTGTGCAAGATCTCCTTTTATCTTAAATTTTTGCCATAAAGATTAGATAGATAAGTTTGAAATTATGCAAGACCTAAAAGTAAATTTTTCATTGATTACCGTACCCTTCAACATAATCGTACATTGATTAATTATTTTAAAATAAATTTATATATCTCACGTTAACGTTAAACTTAATTAAACATAATGTGTTCTATATACTCCATTACATTCCTTAAAAAACCACATATTGGTTTGAAATTGTGCAAGATCTCCTTTTATCTTAAATTTTTGCCATAAAGATTAGATAGATAAGTTTGAAATTATGCAAGACCTAAAAGTAAATTTTTCATTGATTACCGTACCCTTCAACATAATCGTACATTGATTAATTATTTTAAAATAAATTTATATATCTCACGTTAACGTTAAACTTAATTAAACATAAAAAGTCTAAAATATCAGTTATAATGTCTCTATTTTACTAGTAATTTCTAGTATAATATTAGAAACAACTCTAAATTAAGTCAATGCCCTATTGATTTCTAATAAGTTTTGAAAATAAAAAACATGCGTACGCCTTCCACAATTGTATTCCTTAGCAAATGCTCCCAGGACACTAGCAGAACCTATCATTTGAATTAGGGCAGCATGCCTAAACCTTCCACATTGTAGCAACTTCTTAATTTATATTCGTGAAAGAATTCCCACGTTCTCCCCTGGATTGAACTCCATTGAGTTTTGCAACACCTAACTGCAGTAGAAGATATACCTACCTGTGTATGAGATGATCATGTCTTGTCTTTCTTGACTGGTAGATAATTCTCATCGCAGTTATTAGTTATTAATTATATTACACAAATTAAGATTGTACAATGATACTTTTAAGCCCAAACAGACAAATCATTCATAAATATATATATATATATATATATATATATATATATATATATATATATATATATATATATATATATATTTAATAGACAACTCTTTCGATACCTTGATGGGGATGGAATCCAAGTTTGGTGTCATTTTTCAAGCCCAGAATATTTTGTTTGGATTTGTTTTGGTCCTGTTTTCGTATTTTGTGTGTAACGTCAATTCAATATGTATTTTGTCCAGTTTAGATAGGATTCTCATTTAGGTCACCAGTCTATATTATAATACATGTGTACATGTTATATTTAGTAGGTTAATGGAAACAAATATCACCACCATCAAAAATTTGTTTGAGTATTAACTATATAATATAATACTTATTCGCGAGTTAACCTTGGTTCGTCCATGCTCACAGTAAATGAAAGTCATGATCAAGTTCCTGGTGCTAAGATGGCAACCTATATAGATATTTTTCTCAGGAACCTCCTCAATCTAGGCGACGTGGGGGTGGCTTGAGTGATGAAGTTTGAGGAGGAAATTATAGGCTAATCAGAATCCTCAATCTTCTCAAAACTTCGCTAATTACCACCCTTAAGTCAGATCACAGATTGAACATACAGGTTTTGAATAGAATGTGTCACCACTGACCAGTGAATCAATCACATTAGCATAGTGAACTCAAAAGTCAAAATATATAATGTGTGCACTGTTGCTGTTCACCTCTCAATACAACCACAGGATTCCTGGAACAGAAGCAAAATGCATTCACCAACTCAAAGATCTTATCTGGGTGGCCTTTGTCGGACGTTAGGCCATGCCTTAAAGTGGCCCAGATGTCTGATTTAAGGTTCTATAATCGTTTTCATAAATTGATGGAAAAGAAATATTATAGAAAAAAGACATGTGTGGCAGCGGTTCAGTTCCAAGAGTTTTTCGATGTACTTGTATACTGTGCAGAAAAAAGTCTCATGCGTTACCAGACCTGTGTATTGCAAATATAAAAATAGAATAATGTCATGGGTCCAACTCCAAACAAGTTAATATGGAAACAGCTCATACTGGAGGTACAATATCATCGTCTGGTCGTCGATACTTTTGGGAAAATATGGAAACGCACGTATAAAACAATAACACCATGGACGGATTATTTTCGTCGTTAGCAAAGCATAAAATGTAGAGAGGCCCTAGCAGTGGCAGAAGCTATAAAGTTAAATTATCTATCATCTTTGGCATAGATCGATAGATAGATAGAGTTGGAGGGTTCTTTCACTTTATCAATAATACAATTATGACGCTGTAAATTACAAGGATTTGTTACGTGTCTAATCTGAGTAATAGGAAAATGGGGCCTTTAACATGTTTGACAAAGCAATGTCACTTTGAAGTGTGGGGTTGGTCCATTTATTAGAGTTAACTCACTGTTGACAAACTGCACGTGGCAAGACGGAAACAACTATAGCTAGCCACCACTGCCAACACAACACACGCAAGGGTTACGCGTTGGTACGCACACGGAACAATACACCCCATAGGACAATATCAGTACAATAAAATTTAGTTGTTTTTTCTTTTTTCTTGTTATCTTTTCCAAGCACATAGATAGTATTCTTTAGTATTTTCACTATTTTGAAAACTACTCTTTGCCAATGAAGAATTAGATAAAAGTGTACGATAAGATTATCTCCTCTGGTGTCTGAGATGTGAGAGAAGACGAGATGGAGACAATTACAGACATTGAATTGGACAATATCGAGGAGGAATACTGGCAGGCCCCATCAATTTAAGAGGCATCTAATCGCATAGTAATAAACCGAAAAGGAGTAGGAATAATAAGGGAAGAAATAATTGCATCTTCTTCTACGAGGAGGGCAAATAAATACATGGTAAATAAATGGGAAGAAAGATTGAAAGAAGGGTCCAAAAACCTAAATCATTGCTGGCCCTGACTATCTAGTTTTAAAAGCATTCACATGCACTGGTTGGGTACTCGACCGAGCATAACAAACCCCATCGCTGGTGATCCATCGGAAATATAGATACCGAATTACATCTGTCCAGTAAATCATCTAATTCTAATAAACCAATCATTCAACTGTTTATCAAGAGGCAAGCATGAATTAATGAGTTGTAACATGTCTAAATGGAACAATTGACTTGCCTTCAACTTCAGACTTGGACGTACCCTAAGAATGGAGAAGCTCTGGGAATTGAAATATGTATAAATGAAAAATGTTGTTTTGACATTTCCCTGGGCAAGGGGACACCATATGGTTTCTCCACTGTTTTTGGCTTTTGAAATGATATGGAGAGAGAAATATAAATATTGAAGACGTGACAAAATATAGAAATACGGTATTGACGTTCAACAAGTTGTTAGAATAATAAATAAAACTAGCCGTATCACATACCTACATCTACATGTAAAGACAAACTAACACAATTTAACCCATCCAAAAAAGAGTGAAAATCACCAGGGAAACTCATCATAGATAAACCCCCCAACTGGATTCAGAAAATAAAAAAGTACACAAGTGGTGGTGGAGCTTGCGCGTCCTTCCCACCTCTCGTGTCAACCGTATTAAATTTGACTAACCATACCTGTTTCAGCCAGCGGTACTTTTTACAGTGTAAAATACAAATTGTACAAAGACAAAATAGCAAATTATTGGCGATAGCAAGTTAAGGGAGACGATGATAAGGAACAACAGAAGAGCCTTGATATGCATTGCTTTGATGAAACTTTCAACAAAAAGATAAGGGGTAGATGAACAGTGCAACAAGGGTGAAAAAAAAAAAAAATAGGGGGTGGTTAAAAAAGATAAGCATGAGTCAATACAAACACGATATATATAAAGGGAGGAGCAAAGTTTACAGGTTGCGTGGCAGTGGCGACTGAAGAAGGTATTAGTATTAACTATGCGATTGCAGGGTGAGTGTCGCGTTTTTCTCAAGTGGGTCCATCCTCTTCTCATCTGTGAACCTTTATAAGTGTTATGTGAGTCACCGAGGAGAAGTGACAAAGAAAAGAAAAGAAAAAAGTCGTAGCTAATGAATTTCACCTGCATGCCAAATGCGAAGAACATCCTCCTCCTCTTTCTCTTCTTCTCCTTCTTGCTCCCAAAATAAACAAACGCACTCCACCATCGTTGTAGGAAGAGCCACTTAGTGATATTTAGTTTTCTTTGACATTAAAGAATGAGAGTTTCATCGGAGAAGACGACGTCGTCGGAGCCAGAGGCGGGGCCAGAGAGCAAGAAGATAAAGCGCATTCGCGACTCGAGCAAGCACCCGATGTACCGCGGTGTGCGGATGCGTAACTGGGGCAAGTGGGTGTCGGAAATCCGCGAGCCGCGGAAGAAGTCGCGGATATGGCTAGGCACATTCCCGACGCCAGAGATGGCGGCGAGAGCTCACGACGTGGCCGCCCTCAGCATCAAAGGCTCCGCCGCCATTCTGAACTTCCCCCACCTGGCGAACTCACTCCCACGCCCGGCCTCCCTGGCGGCGCGCGACGTCCAGGCGGCGGCGGCGAAGGCGGCCCACATGGAGCCCTCCTCCCTCTCCTCCTTGGTGTCGGCAATGGACCTCTCCTCTGCCTCGGATGAGTTGACCCAAATAGTTGAACTTCCATCCCTTGAAAGCACCGATGATGGGTGTGCGGAGTTGGAGAAGGAGTTCGTTTTCGTGGACTCGGTGGACGCGTGGATGAATCAGCCACCACCCTTTGGTTTTGACGCCGAACTAGACACTGTCTTTGAGGGTTTCATGTGGAATTACTAGGTTCTTCCCTGTGGTCTCCTGTTGTATAAATACTCAAAATCATCTCTTTCTATGTTTTGGTTGGCTGGTGTGTTGTCTTAACAGTGAGAGCAGCCACTTGTGGTTTTTCTTTCGGGGGCTGCTATTCTTCATCGTGTTTCTGTGTGTCTTTCCTGAATTCCTCTCATTTTAATTGTAAATGACTAGAACAAATAAAGTAAGATAAGAGGACAACATTAATTCCTGTTTCTGTTCTGCTTCTTGTTTGGTGTTTGGTTTGGTTTACTCTTGTTAAGATTGCGTAACCCATGAAATTGTGAGTGATGTCTGATATGTAAATGTTTCGGTGGAAAGAGGCGTACGAAAAGAGATAGAAAGGGGAAATGGGAACATTGACGACGATGATGATGTTATTTGACCACAAGTTGTATTGTGTCTGTATATATCTTTGCTTGATTGAATCGTCGTGGTTTGGAAGCTCTTGGGCAGAGAGATTTTTGCCTTTAATATTATAGGAGCTGTGTATGTTCCTTGGTGATGCACTAGCACATTCGAGAGGGTGGTGGGTGACCCATAAAGGATTCTGGTTTCCTTTTGGCAAATGGAAGCATGTGATTGGCGCGAGAGATGGATTTGACAGTGAAAAATCATTTTCATATTTATAAAAAAGGACAGGCACTGTACACACACTATATCCACATCTTTCCATATCCCGACTTCACAATTTGCTTCTCAGTCCGAACCATGGTTTCCTCAATTCGACTGGAAAAGGGTTTGGTCCCATTGAACGTATCTCACTTCACTTTACTGCAAAATCTGCAATGTCTATTCCTTCTAACTTTTCCTTCATGGTGGGTGTTAGGTTGAGATCATAGTAGAAGATAGAATTAATGCATGTTAGTGGGTAAGAGAAAAAATGAAAAGCTAACATTTTTTATCTGTTCTTTACTGATCTTTTTATTTGTTTCTTTGTCTCTTTCTTATTTTTATTCAGTATTAGTAATTACCACTTCTTTTTATCTAATTTATTGCTTTTCTCTTTACTAAACAGTTCACGTTTATAAATTGTTACTTAGACTTAACCAGCATTGCAATGTGAAGTGATCTATATGATACGAAGAAGATTCAAAAATCCATTATGGTTGGACTTTGCATGTCATTGACAAAAAATAGCACAACGAAAATGTGGTATGGTTTGAATGGAAAGATTTTCCTTCTAAAAGGAACCACGATAGCAATGATTAACCATTTCTCCTATTCAAAAAGAGTCAGAAGAACTATTTCAGCTCTCACATTACTTTTGTCTAAAATTGTATCTTTTTTTTTTATTTATATAAGTTAGCTTAAGTTTATTCACAAACTTAGTTTTTTTTTTTCTTCGGTTTGCTTTTTTCAAGTGTTAACGGTGAAGATTAGAAAAATAAACCCAATATTATTATAATGTGTGTAGTAAAATAAAAAATAAATAATTTGGATAAAAAAATAATGAAAATAAGTAAGAAATAAAATAAAATTTAAAGTGCTTGATTAAAAGAAAAACATATGAGTGCAAATAAGTGAAAATAATATAATTAGATTACACTAATTTTTAAATAAATTATCATATAATCCATTTTTATTAAATATTTACAACCCCTCTATTTATCTAGAAGTCTCCCCTCTCTTTTATATTATATTTTTATTATTTATCATATTTTTTAGAAGTTTAAGCATTACCAAATTAAATTGAAAGGTGATACTCCAACCACTAAACTACTAGAATTTTCGATAATAATTTACAAATAAATTATATTTATATGCAATTAAATATATATCCGTGTAAATATATAAATATACAAATACAAATATATTTATATATTTTGATATATTTATATAATTATATATTTAAATATTTATACGTTGAATGTGAGGACACGCTTGAAGGTAAGAGTGTGTATCGAGTGAGTTTTCAAAATTTGATGTCAAATTTGTGAATGGGTCTCTTTATATGGGTTTGTAATTTAATGACGTAATATAATTTTTATAATTTATTTATATAATGATATAAAATAAATTTGGGAAACGTGTCATTCACTCAAGCAAAAAATACCAATTTTCGCTCAAGCGAGACTTGAGCGAGTGAATTTCTGTGAGCTTTAACGTATTTTCACTCAAGCGGAGTCAATCTCACTTTCACCCTCGAGCACACCCTCACATACAACATATAAATATATAACTATATAAATATATCAAATATATAAATATATTTGTATTTATATATTTTATATTTATATATTTACACTGGATATATATTTATTTGTATATAAATATAATTTATTTATAAATTATTATTAGAAAATTATAGTATTTTAGTGGTTGGAGTATCAGTTTTTAACTCTAAAATACTAGGTTCGAATACTCGTCAATGACAATTCTCTAACTTAAGTGAATTTTTTGCTGAAAATAAAAAATAAAAATACTTTCCAAATTAAATGATGATGTGGAAAGCATATTTTGTAGTAATGATATTTTAATTTATCCATATTTTGTAGTAATGATATTTTAATTTATCCATATTTTGTAGTAATGATATTTTAATTTATCCAACCGTAATGTAAAGCTTAATATCTACTAAATGGAAACTCTTTCCATGCCTTGATCAACGATGGAATCCAAGTTTAAATACAATTCTTCTTACAACAATTGTTAATGCATGTATGTACATTATTAAAGTTGAGTTGCTTTTATCCAATCAAATTAGAATTCGGAATCTAATTCACTTGGGATTAATCAAATATATTATCTAGAGTAGGGTTGGATTATGTCAACCTCTTATATTTTATTATTCCACTCAATTCAATCTAATTTTTTTCTATGAATCATTTTAATTAGGTAACATTTAAAAAAAATACATTTTAATTTTAAATTTTTTTAGAATATACTTTAAAAAAAGTATATATTATTCATTATTTAAACAATTTAATATATAGAAATGCATATTTAGTTAACATAATAATTATATTATTATAATCATTAATATTAATAGTATTTAATATTTAATATTTTTGCTATGATAGGATGGATTAGGTACTATATATCTCATTTTCAACATGTAAAATTTATTACTTATCTTAGAAGAGATTGAGTCAGGTTAAATTTCATTTAATTAAAGAAAAAACTCAATCTAATCTATCATATTGGTACCTCGAGATATCTATTGAACCTAAAATTATAATCATTACAAATAAAATTTGTGACTAAAATATATTAAAGCATAAATAATATAATTAAAGTATTTTTTATATTTCCTATTAAATATGAATAATTAAATATTAATGTAATGACATATATGTAAAGAATTTTATTTATGTTATATTAGTAGACCATGTATTACGAAAATAGTTATAAAAATAAAATAATAACTTAATATATTTAATATATTTAATATTATTTTATTAATTTGAATTTAAATAATTTTAAATAAATATATTTGTATAATAAATAGTATTTTATAAATAATTAAAAAATAATTTGAAGCTATTAATTTAAAAATCTATTTCATTAATAAAAAATAATCAATAGTTATATAAATAATTTTATAAACGTAAAAAATCTAATTCTTTATTTTCCATATTGGATCCTAAATAAAAAAAATAATGATTAAAATATAAATTATATTATTAATATATTTCTCATAATATGATGAGTACATGGAGAATTTCGACTTCTGAACAGCCCTCCTAACCCACACTACATTAATGCTTCGCCGTTATCCGTCTCTATTAATATTTTTGGTTACAATATCACTATTATTAATATGACAACAGCCAACCCAGTGTTTTCTTTTTTTGGTGATGATGAAACATGGTGGGAACCAATTTATTGAGAACATTATTCCATGCAATTTTTCTCATTCGTCTATAAATATAATTACAACTCATTATGATGACTAAAGTTTGATTTTTCATGCTAAATTATTATTAATAAGTTAAACCACAATATATATATATATATATATATATATATATATATATATATATATATATATATATATATATATATATATATATATATAGAAAGTTTCATTTTTACATTGATATTTTTTACCTATTTTACTCCTTCATATCTTCTTGTGGGTTATAATGGAGGTTTGTTAGATGTCACCAAGTAGGAGTTTGATGACATTAGTCTTCAAATCCTATATATCTATCTATCATAGTCCTTTTTTTTTTTTTTTAAACGTGAATGCATTAGCAAGCTTACAAAAACATTTGTTAACATGTATTCACTTATCAACCAAATCAATAAAGTGAGTATTTTTGGAGTTCATATATAAGCATATTAAGTAAAATGAATGATGATGAGAGTTATATAAGAAGTAAAAGACATGAACACATAAAATGGAGAGTGATGGAGGTTGTCCCTTGCTCAATTTAGCTAATTCTGTTTCATCATATGAACAATGCAGTGAGATGAGGATATCATAAAGGGCAATAAGCATCTGAAGTTTGGCGTTTGTTTGTTTAAATCAAGGTTGTAACTTATTAATATTATTATTTGTCAGGTGTGCCAACCATCATTGTTTTCCACCTTTATTATATTAAACATTATGAACACAAATGCATATATTATTTCTTTTCTTTTTTTAATCAAAAGGGGTTAAAACTTATTGACCAGAGAAGAAAGAAATGATAAAGCTATTATGAATGAATCAATGATAATATATATTTATACTACATATGGCAACGAGTTCAGTGGCCGTACATATGTATGATGTGGTTTGGTTTGTTTATTTAGGCAATTTTGCTACCAACTTATAATTGAATAATGTCAGCTACACGTTCCAAAAACAATCATAGCTTTCTACACTTATTGTTAATAATAATAATAATAATAAACGTTATGAACAAATCATGTACATTTTTTTACTTATTTTTATTTAAAGGAGGTTACGACTTTTATTGACCAGAAGAAAGTAAGAAGGAATCATGAAAACATGATCAATAATTAATGAATGAATGAATGAATGAACATTGTTGTCT